GATAAGTATGTTCTGAACAAAGAGATTCGTTTCGGCTCATTTACGTCTTCCTCTCTCAATCTTAAAGTAACGCAAGGTTTTGGAACTAAATCTTGTTTTGAAATCATAACTTGTGAAAGTGCTGAGCTGACAAAATATTCTCAGTATCCTTACATAAAAGAGGTGCTGATTCCTCCATATGAGAAGTTTAGAGTCACTGCTGTCAGGACAAAACAATATTATAAAGATCTCTGGTGTGACACCGTTTTCACTTTGAAAAGCTCTGGAAGAACAAGTTACATGAACTGTGCTCTGTTCAAGAAACACTAAAAACATGTGTTGCATTGAAAAAAAAGTGTTCTGAATTGACATGATGTAATCATCAGTTCCACACAAATTGATATCACTTTTTTTCCTCCGAATAATTCTTTTTCAGAAAACAATTTGTTTGTATCATTTTAACATGATGAAATAAAGTTATTTTAAGTGACTCAATTCAGTGTCCTTAAAGTGAATAAATGTGTCTCTAATTCTTGTCTTCATTTATACTTAAATCTTTTTGCATCACATCACTGAACTAGTTTAGGAATTGCCTTTTAGCTTTACGTAATTGTTAGCAGTAGTGTGATAACTGCTAAGTGACGTTTTGAGTGAAATGCAGCATAAAATATATATTTCCAAGACATTCAGGATTTATTTATTTATTGTTAGGATAACATGGATTTTTACATGCATCTCTTTTGTTGACAACTGAAGCTAGACTGAATAATCAGACTCCTGGCTAATTTAGAATAGGCTATTGAAACAGTTGTTTTAATGCAACAATGTTCTATATGTTAACATTACTTAGTGAAATAAAGATAACACTTTTTTCAGCATTTCTTAATCTTGGTTAATGTTAATCATTTTAATTAATACATATACTAATACATTTTAATATTTCAATTTGAAATAAATTATTATGAATGAAGATGAATGAACAATTAAGGATAGTAGGCCAACACTGAAAAAACTGGCATAGAAACAATTTCCCCTCAGAACTTGCTAGTAAATTTCACAGTTAGTTACAAAGAAACGGCAAGTAACACACTGAATTAAATGTGAAATTTAGAAGTAGAATGACTGAAATAATATCTTCTTGTAAAACACTCCAAAAATCATTGTTACAGTGTATAATTACAAGTTAACATTAACGTAAATTAATAAATGCCTTAAACCCAGCAAGCCTATTCACAATGAATTACGCTTCTAAACTGCAATATTTAACATCTACATAATAAGTGTGTTGGGAGAAACGAGTTGGAAGTTAAAACCACATAATGTCATTTTGGTATAAAATTTAAAAAGTTATCTTTTGAAAACAGATGAGTGCTGATCAAACGAAAAAAATAAGTATATTTCATCTGAAGATTACAACATACATTTCATATTTTTTAATGACCTGCACAGTTCTGGTCACTTCTTTCTAACATAAACACAGTGTCACACCAGAGATCTTTCTGATCTCTTCTGGTTTTGACAGCAAGTCTTGGTTTTAAAAACAAGATATGTGACCCTGGACCACAAAACCAGTCATAAGGGTAATTTTATCGTAATTGAGATTTACACATCATCCGAAATCTGAATAAATAAGCTTTCCATTGATGTATGGTTTGTTATGATAGGACAATATTTGGCCGAGATACTAAATATTGAGAAAAAATCTAAATATTGAGAAAATCGCCTTTAAAGTTGTCCAAATGAAGTTCTTAGCAATGCATATTACTAATCAAAAATGAAGTTTTGATATATTTACGGTATTGAGAAAATCGCCTTTAAAGTTGTCCAAATGAAGTTCTTAGCAATGCATATTACTAATCAAAAATTAAGTTTTAATATATTTACAGTAGGAAATTTACAAAATATCTTCATGGAACATGATCTTTACTTAATATCCTAATGATTTTTGGCATTAAAAAAAAGCAATAATTTTGACCCATACAATTTATTTTTGGCTATTGCTACAAATATACCCAATCGACTTAAGACTGGTTGTGTGCTCCAGGGTCACATATGTTTTCCAAACCTTCTGCATCTGTATGATCAAGAGAGCAGGAAGAAATCAGCCTAAATGTATGAAAATGAAAAAATTATTCTAATAAACAGGAAAAAAATGTAAAGCTGTATTACTTTTATTTTTTGATGCTTGAATACCCCTTTTCATCTTTGGTGTTGTTTGATTGTTCTCGTATGCAATCATACACGCTTCTTAATACAAAAACTTTCCTTTGTTAATTTCATTTGAGCTCGGAGTTAGGCTTGTGGTTAGAGACGGGACATCCTGTTTACTTCTCTAGATTGCACGTTTTCATGCGAATTCGCCATTGCATACAATTACTATGAATTCTCAAGAAATCGGGTTGAAAGGTTCACCTGTCCAGTTTGAAACCACACCAACCAGAGAAAGCTATTACTTCTTAAAACACACACACACACACACACACATATTATCAGCGATATAAAAAGCCACCTTCTTCATCTCTTGGTTTGAAGAGTCATTGTCATTTGGCTGTGAGCAACTGAATTTTCTGATCTTCTCCTCTCATCGTTGAGCGTCTGAAAATTAACGAAAAGAAAACAGAATCTGACAAAAAGAGACAACAATATTCTCAGGTAAGTTAATATAATAAAGGTTAATAACTCATAATTTCTGCTAATTTGCAGAAAATACTAGTTGCACAAATTGTCTTGTGTAAGGAATTAATTAAGAAAATGATTGTGCAACATATTCCTACAGGAGTAATAGATTTAGTATTTGTGTAATACTTTTGTGTCTGGTTTTCTTTGAGCATCTGTTCTTCACTAGATCTACTAGATCATCTGAGGGATTCGACTGAATCAAGATGCTGCTGATCATTGAAGCTCTTCTTCTCATTTTAGCTGCTCTAGGACAGGTAAGCTTGTGTTCTAGTATGAATATTACAGACATGAATGCTGATGATTGATCATTATGATTGCTGTTGCTGCAGGATCACAGAGCTGCTGGTGCAGGACTGAAATTGGATATGGCACTGAATTCTGTTGATGACCAATATAAGGGCTGTACATCGAAAATGGCACATCTGGTGAAGACAAAATATCTAATGAAAGAAATCAATAACTCACCGCAATTTAAAATTGGTTGGCAAGTGGGTGCAATGTTTGTCAAGTTCCCAAAAGGTTACTTGAAAAGGAATCATTTAATCGCCATTTATGTGTACAGTGATAATAACGTATATCAGCATTTCAATCCTGACAATCGTTATGGTAAAAAACAGTACAATCACAAGACCTACAAATGGTATTCCCTTTACTTTCTGTTAACAGAAGCGATACAGATTCTGAAGAAAACACAGTATGGATGCAGGTTTACTTATCGTGGTACAAATGTTGAATTTAATAAGGATGTTCTGAACAAAGAGGTTCGTTTTGGCTCATTTGCTTCATCCTCCCTTGATTATAACATTGCACGAGGTTTTGGATCTAAATCTTGTTTTGAAATCTACACTTGTGAAGGAGCTGATGTGGCAAAATATTCTAAGTATCCTCATGAGAAAGAGGTGCTGATTCCTCCATATGAGAAGTTTAAAGTCACTGCTGTCAAGTCGAGAAAATATCAGCCTCATCTCTGGTGTGAAACTGTGTTCACTTTGAAAAGCACTGGAACAAGAAGTTACCTGAATTGTGCTCTATTCAAGAAACCTCCCAATTATAATGGTTTTTACTGAAAAAGTGCTTTGAATTCATCAGTTCCATGTTAATATTTTTTATATTTTGTTATTTCCTCTTCAATAATTCTGTCAGAAAACAGATTTTGTTTTCATAATGAAATAAAGTATATACACAATGCAACAAAAACAGCTGTCACTCATTTTCTTTTGTTCATTCATCTGTCATTTGTTCAATGTGTCCGTACATTTCACAACCCTTTTTCATGAGAAACGACAGAAACTAATATAACTTGGTGAGCAGTCAATTTATAGGCAAATAGACCATAATAGAAACTACCAGGCATTGTGTCAATACACGGCAAATGTGATGCTCAAGCTAAAGGATGTTCTGTCATGACAACTCTCGGAGGGATTGGCATGGCAATGTACATGACAATGTTAATGTATTTGGTCTTGGCGGAATAGATCTGCTACGCTGCTGCAGCAGAGCAAGTACCGAGACTTGCTACTGCCAATACATCCACAACATGCTGCTGTGAGCATGTAAGAAATATTGCTGCTGCAAATATAACATACATGAAATAACCCCCACATACATGAATCACCTCGTAGCAGATCTATACAGGTGGAGCTGGGGAAGGTGGAGGGTTTCTGAAGCAAGCTGCACTGCTACGGCAAGCACTAGTCATATATTTGAATGTTGAGCAGCGAGCTCATTGGCTACCGATACAGGAGAGAACCAATCAGCTGTGCCATGTGATAATGATGTCATTAGGTCAGATTGAGTTAGACCTATCGGACTGCGCCATCTAGAGTTTCATGCCAAAACTCTGTATATTTGCTACGACTCCTTCCACAACATGTAGCAGAAGCCTGACCATATTTTCTTCATTTACAAATATGTTACACGCGCAGAGGAATGATGGAGACAGCTCTAAACCACAAATACTTCTTATTGGCTTACCGTAGTGATTTGGGCAAAAACACGGTTTGGAATTTTTTATTTTTCATATACCCATTCATTATTTAAAATTTTGTTGATTGAAAAAAAACCCCCATACATTTATTACAGTTATTTTGTAAATAAAAATACACAATGACCATTTATGGTCAGACTTATTTATACTTATTTTAATGCTTTTTTTTTTCTAAGCATTTTTTTTATATATTCCTTTTACCATTAATGATAAAATATTTGTTTCTAAAACAGACGTTTCATTCTTATTTCATTCTTAAAACATTATAAATAGACCATCTAAAAAAAAATAATAATCCAACGAACTATTGCCGTTTTCAGGTTTTCATTTCCCTAACCAATGAGTATTTTACTACACATTTCTATTGATACTGTGGTTCGATACTGTGCTAAAATCAACAAATTAAAAAATGCAAAAATAACAGGACAAACCATGTCTACTGATATTTATTTTCTTTTCCTATAAAAAGGCAAAATTACTGTATACAATTAAACAAAACGGAAAGCAGGGGAAACCTTTTTACTTAGTATAAGTTTCCTGGTATGAGTTTCTCTGGGAAGCTAAAACAGTTGTGTGCAATAAAATACAGTGAAGTCCAGATTTCAGCCATTTCTCAGACGTTCTCCACCTTAATGATGTTCAGCTCGGGCTCGTGGGGTGAAACCGGAAGACTAGAGGACTGGTTAGGGGGGCTGCAAGCCTGGAATGACCCACCTGCACTGGTGGAGGGCATGTCTACTGATTTGTTATCCATCCCCGTAAAGGAGTCTGTGTGCGGCTGAGTGTACTGGAGTGCGCTGGGCGCGAATGTTTGCGTGAAAGTCGGCGTGCGCGCTTGTGCGTGGGTGAACGGGGGCCCGCCGGAGGTCGGGCACTGCTGAAACCCGTTCATGGTAGGTGGGCTGAGCTGGTCCAGAGAAAACACCTCAATGCTCTCCAGACCGGAATCATGGATCTCGTTGTATCGCGTCTGGGCTTGGCTGCACTGAGCGTAAGCACCCTGACCGGTCGCAGTCTGGCCGAAGGGCGCAGAGGAGGCCAGGGAACAAGACGCTGGTAACGTTGGCGCAGATGTAGACTGCAGAGGCTCAAATTTGGATGAGAGATTCTGCAGGGTGCCGAGGATCTGCTTCTGGACTTGGGTCTGCTGGGCTTGTTCTCTCTCCAGTCGGCCTTGATGGTCCACCATCATCCTCAACGCCAGTCCCAAACTTCTCAGCTCGGAGCCCAACAGCTGGATCTGTTCCTGCAGGCCGCTCAAGGCTCCAGGGTCCAGGCCGCTCCGCTGGGGAGGAGGTGAAGGCTGGTTGCTCACGTTTTGGACCCGTGCAGGGGGGGCTGAATTTTGGGACGTCATCCCAGTGGTGGATGGGTCGGGGAGGTGGATGCCGACACGTGGAGGGTGTTGAGGAGCGCGAACGGGAACGCCGACCCGCTGGTGCATCAACCTCCTATGAGGACTGGCTCCTTGGTGCAATGATCTCTGGGAAATAAAAATGTAATTAAGCCCTCAATCTACATTGGTGAGAATAATGATATTAATAATACATTATACTATATTAATTTTAGCATTATTATTATTAACATTACATTTTTTTATTATATTTTATTAAATTAATTAAAAATAATTCTGCATATTGGTTGTGGGACACTTAAAGTCACCATGAAATCAAAATTGACAATTCTTGAAATACTGCACTGTTTCTTATAAATGATTTATCCGTACATTATTTTTTTTTCATGTGCTCTCGTATTCTTCAATCAAAATAACTCTTCAGTGACATCTCTTCTCTGATGACAGGTTTACTGGGGTGAGGGTGGGATCAACCTGTCACTCACATGAGATCCACCAATAGCAAACCAATCAATTCCCCATGGACAAAATCAAGCCCCGCCTAGGGTTGGGCGATGTCTGCAGTGAAACATCGTGATGGACGATGACATCAGGGGGCGGGGCCGAAGAGTCCTTGTGATTGCGAATCTCAAAAGTGAAAGTAAAATGAGAGCGTGCAATCGAAAGCGGTTTCAATAGCGGCTCCCTGATGCCCGCAATTTATATACAGTCGCCTCTACTTACCCAACGATATAATTGCGAGAAAAAGTACTGAAATATTTTTTTTTATCCTCCCATCTCGTAGGCTATTTATTCCCTTTAGGGTTTCCCAAAACCTTGTCTTCTGTAAATCATATATTAATAAGATTTTTTGCATCACTTTTTTTTAATTAAGTATATTACCATGTAATGTGCACGTTTTACATTTTTTTATTACTGTAATGCAGTCATTTTTATAAAGAAATAACTTAAAATAATTGCAAAAAAATGATACCAGATAACAACTAATACCATAATGTATAAATACATTACAATTTCTAATTATAATAAAATGTTGTAACAAAATAGTTTTTTTGCATTATAGTCATGAGAATTAGAGGTGAAATGTGCATAATTACCATGAAAATAGTCAAATTATTAGCAGGCATTACTCCAGTCTTCAGAATCACATGATCCTTCAGAAATCATTCAAATATTTCTGATTATTATCAATGTTGAAAACAGTTTTGCTGCTTCATATTTTTGTGAAAACTGTAATAATTTTTTCCCCATGACATCGTCTATCGGCCCAACCCTAGCCCCGCCCTACATTTTTTTCTTGTTCGAGAAGCCATTTCACTTGGATATACATCACAATAGGGAAGAAAAGACTATCGCAAATTCCATTTCATGCCGACTTTGATCAACAAATAGTTATTACTGGTTATAAAAACCTTTTTTTTAAAATCTCTCTCTAATCATAATAGTGCTGGATTGATGATGATGTTTCATAACTAACCATGTGTGGAGGTCTGGCTGTAGTCAGGTCATAAGAAGCCGTCTGAGGTAACGCAAGCTTTCTGCCTTCAGATCCAGAGAAACAGGACGGGTCTCGTCTCACTGACAGCGACACCTGCTGGCCACTCTGTGGAACGCTGTCTCTGACCTTCACAAAACACATGCAAGTTATTAAAGGTAAAAAACCACACACACAAAAAAAAAAAATTATAATAATTAT